CTCTCTCTCTCTCTCTCTCTCTCTCTCTCTCTCTCTCTCTCTCTCTCTCACTCACTCACTCACTCTCTCTCTCTCTCTCTCTCTCACTCACTCTCTCTCTCTCTCTCTCTCGCTGTTTCTCTCTCTCTCTCTCTCCCTCTCTGTTTCTCGCTCTCGCTCTCGCTCTCGCTCTCGCTCTCGCTCTCGCTCTCGCTCTCTCTCTCTCTCTCCATCCCTCTCTCTCTCTCTGTGTCTTTCTCTCTCTATCTCTCTCTCTCTCTCTCTCTGTCTCTCTCTCTCTCTATCCCTCTCTCTCTCTCTCTCTGTCTCTCGCCTTCGACATATGTATATGTATATACATACACAGAGACTTCATACACGGATGACTATACAAGTAACGTGAGTACATGCATGTTTGTGTATAATTAGATATAATATCTTTATATGGGTGTAAATATGTCAGTTTGTTATGTGTACACTACTCTGGCAAAATACCAACCAAACATCTCTGCTTTGATAATGTATTTAAGACCCTGACTCTGCTGCGGATGCTGCACATCCATCTTTTGTTTCGATATGAATCTCAACCACCCCCCCCCCCCCTACACAGCGGCACTCTCCGCGCAGCCTACGAAGATCAGGATATAGATCCCGATCGCCAACCTCACCTTAAGAGCGCAGGGCTTGAAGCTTGTCAGTTCCTGCAACGACTGCGATCACATGCACGGGGGTACTCCAAGCCTGCCGCAGCCTCTAAACCTCCAACACTGCACAGCCTTAGACCCGAAACCATCCATGGTCACCGGCACCATGTGAACAGGTGTTTTTCTTGCTCCCCTTCCTGCAGCTGTTCACTTGTTTGCGTACTGCAAGAATGAGCCCCATGCCCCAAGTTCAGAGTGGCATCGGTTTAGGGTTTAGGGTTTAGTGGCAACGCCACTCTGTAAGATCCGCGACTCGTAGGAGCCAAGTTGCATACTCGACGTACGTGTAGGTCAGCTCGGCTCCTGGGTCGGAGTTGGTGAGGGATTTTCAATCGGGATTTAGGGTTTGGGGTTTAGGGTTTAGGGTTTAGGGTTTAGGGTTTGGGGTTTTGGGTTTAGGGTTTAGGGGTCGGAGTTGGTGAGGGTTTTTCAATCCCCTAAGGGTCCAAAGGACCCAAGAATCATGTGCCTGGGTTACGGAGAGTAGTTATGTAGGTTAGTATTGGTATATGATTATTAGGTACTTGCACCCTTAGGGATCGGGATAGCTTCATTTATGTACCCCATAGGTTGGGCCTCTCCAGCTGTACCGGGAGGGTCTTCTGCCAGACAGGATCTTCCACTAGGCAGGGTCTTCTGTTAGACAGCACTTTTAGGTCTGATTATCCTGGCTTGGGTTTGGTTTGGCATGTTGGCCAGGAGGCTCAGAGTTTAGGTTTGGGGAATAGCAGCACAATCCTCCGGCCACAACCAATCGGGTCGAATTGATCATGGTTTAGGGTTTAGGGTTTAGGGCTTTAGGTTTAGGAACAAGGCTTTCCGTCATCGTTTCCTCAAGAAAAGTTTGGCTGAAGGCTGTCGTTGCAGAGCGATGGTGGCATCAGAACAACAAAAGTTAACAGCAGTGACAGGGATAGTGCGAACCATAACAGTATCTTAATAATTACCATTACTACTACCACTACTACTAATAATAATAGTCATAACTATGGTCTTAAAAATAATAACAATGCATTTCGACGCAAGGATCGAAATCGTCCAAGCAAGTCGCTAAATCGTAGGGCTTTATAGCGCAACCCCAGAGCCCTAAAGCACGAACCGTAAAGCAGCGAAAACATAAATCTGAAGCCCTAAACCTTTAACCCTGAGCCCCTAAAGCCCCAAAGGCCTAAACCCTAAACCCCTCTACCCCAACCATTCTCCCCAAAAATCAAAACGCCGAATTCACGGGCATTAATAATTACCTAAACTATTGTTGGGGTTCCTTACCATGATCATAGTACCATCTACCCCAAAACCCTATTCTAATCATTTAGGCCCCTATATGGGTAGTTGTCTAAATTCGGGTCCCCTTGAGGTTCCTTTGTATAAGAGTGCCGTGCTGTATTTGGATCTAAACGGAGACTCAACTCTAGAGAACTACCGACATAAACCCCTTATAGAAGCTTACACCACCCTTACAGAAACCCTAAACCCTAAACCCTAAGCCCTTACAGAAACCCTAAGCCCTAAACCCTAAACCCTTATAGATCCCTGTAAGGAAGCCTCAAAAGGGACCCCTATTACTCCCTCAAACCGAGGCCAGGGCCCAAGGGAAGCGAGAACGTGCTGGCGCCGTGTAGGGTTTAGGCGATTAGGGTTTAGGGTTTAGGGTTTAGGGTTTAGGGTTTAGGGTTTAGGGTTTAGGGGTCTATGGTTGAGAGGCTTTCGGATTTAGGCGATCAGGGTTTAGGAGATTAGGGTTTCGGGTTTAGGCGGTTAGGTCTTAGGAGTTTAAGGTTTCGGGTTTAGGCGATTAGGGCGGCTTAGGAGTTTAGGGTTTAGGCGATCAGGGTTTTTGAGTTTCGACAGGCAATGCTCCACATAGGGATTAGAAGTTTAGGGTTTAGGGTGTAGGGTCGAGGGTTTATCGGGTTTAGGGCAAATTGGTGGGGATTGCGCCTTCCTACAACCCTGTAAAGCCTTTGTATTTAAAGCCCTGTCTAGAACCCCGTAGAACAGTAGAACCTTATATGCGAACCCTAGCGGCTCTAGCGGTGTGGGGTTTGAGATTGGGGGGTGGGTTTGGGTTTGTGAGGCGGGATTTCGTGTTCGGGGGTGTTCGGGTGATGATGAAGCTTCTGGTTTTGGCTTTGAGTTTCTGGGGGTTCATGGATGGGTCTGCTTTCTAGGGGTGGGCACTTAGGATTGAAGAGTCGACTGATGTTGGGGCACGGAAGTTTCCTAATCCTGTAAATCCCTACGCCGAAAGCTGACAAATAGGGCACCCTCAACTTGGGATCCTTCCTTCC